ATTATTATTATTATTATTATTATTATTATTATTATTATTTAAAGGGAAAGTGTGCAGAGGACCCTGCAGTCTATGTTACAGGCAAAGCACCATTCCTAGCAGCTTTCAGGAAAGCCATAAAGGAGCAATCTGGACAATTAGGTTCAGTTGCATACCTAGTATATTTGACACCTGATGGTGATCATTTTTAATGCCCCCCCCCCTCCTCTTTTCAGCAGCCTTTTCCAGGTCTGGAAGAGCTACTAGCTGGGCAGGAAAGGGAGGCGACTCACTTTCCCACCTGGCCACCAGGTCAGCCTGGCCTGGAAGGCAGCCGCTTTTCATCAGCAGCCACTGTTGGGAGTGGGCTACTGCTGCTGTCCTGCAGCCTTTCAAGGTCTGGCAGAGCTGCTAGATGGGTGAGAAAGGGAGGTAACTAGTCTTCTACCCAGCCAGCAGACCAGCTAGACTTGGAAGGCAGTCCTTTCCAAAACATGCACCAGGTGACACCCCCTCTGAGGTGTCACCTGTGTTGTCCATACCCAATTTACTCTTATATTGATGCCCCTGATCAGGGCCGCAAAAATAGCTGTATCTCTGTTCTCTCACCCTACTTACTACTTGAAGACTGGATCTTTCCAAATTTCTGTCCTTATGGCATGGGTGTTCTCTGTTCTCTTTGTGGATCTGTTAGCATTTCAAAAGACAAGAAAGTTAATTGGTGAGGAGTCTCCTCAGAGGACATTTTGGCCAATCTGGATTGTTGATTATTGGCTCCCCACTGGACAGGTGGTTCTTTCTGACATTTGTTACCAGAAGTAGCTTCAGATTCCTTGGAACCACATGGTATCCCTCTGTTCCTGTATCATGCAGATCCATGACCAAGGGCTAAGGATGTGACTGGATCTTCCTCGTACTCTGTGTCTCTGGGCCAGTGGTTGGAGCCATCCTTGGAAATTTTACCTTATTGGGCCTTCAGCTCCCCCAGATCCCTCACTTAACCTGGCCACTAGAGATTTTAGGAGTTGAAGTTCAAAAAATAAAATTTCCACATTCTCATCACCACTGTCAACACTAGCCTCCCTTTTCACTGCTGTGAAAGCTAGACTGCCACACATCCTGCTTACACAGGAAATTAGAACAGTGAGTTGAGTTGCCAAGTGGCCAGAGATTTATAAGCCTGACCAGAATATTGTCCTGTTAGTTAGGTTGCCAGAACTGGAGGATACAAAGCTGGAAAACAGAAGAGAATTCTTTCTTCTTTTAACCTTAAAAACTAAACAAGCAAATCTCTTTCCTTATTTTTGTTACCTTCAATACTACTTTTTCCTAATGGCTAGCTGTGCTGCAAGCACAATGCACACAAAATATTGCTGTGTTTCCCAAGCAGAAATGTAGTTTAAAGTCGTGACATTAAAGTACGGTACATTTATGTTATTGAGTCTCCCAGGTGCTTTGAGGCTTTTTAGAGTTCACTGAAGGCATGAACTCAGGCTTTCCTCTGCAATGCATGATCCAGCCAAAGCTGTGTGGGGAACAGAGTACTTGCTTTGCACAGGGAAGATCCCAAAAATGATCCCTGGATCAGATAGCAGATGACATGAGAAACCTCTGCTGGTGACCATGGAGAACTGCTCCAAATTTGACAGTACTGGACATTGGTACATTGTTAAGTATGTCCTGCCTCTTTAAGAGGGAAGTACAGAAGGCCTTGTTGCTAGCAAGCCTTGTGAGGTGGGAGGAATGGAAATAAAAGTACTGCAAAAACCAGGACAATGCTAAGCCTAACAATCAGGACAATATTCTGGTCAGGCTTGTACATCTCTGGCTGTTGCTGCTTGGCAACTCAACTCACTGTTCCAATTTCCTCTTTAAGGAGGATGTGTGACAGTCCAGCAAAAAAGGAGGCTGGTGTTGACAGTGGTGATGAGAATGTGGAAATTTTATTTCTGAACTTCAACTCCTAGAATCACCAGTGTCCAGGTTAATTGAGAAATTTGGCAGAGCTGAAGGCTCAATAATATAAAATTTCCAAGGATGGTTCCAACCACTGATCCAGAGATCCAGTCACATCCTTAGCTGTGGGTCATGGATCTGCATGATACAGATATAGAGGATGCCATGGAGAGGCATTGCCACCCTTGGTGTCAACTGGTGTGGGGGGCAGAGATGCTGAGGAGGCATGGCCAGCAGGCCATGCTTACCCCTTCTCCTTCACCACAATGGCAGTGGCCTCCTCATGGGGAGACCGCCACCACTGAGGGAAGCAAGACTGGGTGCCTTCTGCCTTCTCCATCCAC